CCCCCCCACCCCCCATTCACGCTTCTAGCTGCGGTATTCATGAGCGCATCTTATGCATCCATTAGCCCACCAGTCTGATTTCGTAACTAACCCAAGGCCACTTGCCAAATCAGTGAATTTACTCAATAGCTGATTCGAGGTGTACATGTGCATGCGTGTGCCTGTGACCGTGTGACCATGTGACAGTGCAACCTTGCGACCGTGTGATGCGTCCGCAGTGTTATCTTTCAATGGGAGCGGGATCAGATGGTGTCAGGTCTGTGAGAGAGGAGGACAGAATCGGTTGGGCGGGTTGGCTCAATATGAGGAATGGGGTTAAGGTGGGAGCAGACAAAACGATGGGCTCTCTTTGATGTCAACGAGACGGGAGCCAAACTATTCATGAGTATAGGTTCCATCCCCCGGTGATGTAGGACTACTCTGAGCTAATATTCATGGCTATGTCTGGGACAGCATGCTTATGGTGGTGAGATTTTCCCGCCAAATTCAAACGATGACCATCTTTATTGCCTTGAGAGTGCAACTAGTTCGTGTAAGGCTTGGTGCGAATGAAGTTCAACTTATAGGCAAGCCAGAGCAGAAATTGAAGTTTCGAGCACTGAGTCACATTCGTTTAATTCATGAGGCAAAGTCAACTTGCATTTGGTTCTGGTGCTTATCCTTGTCTTGTATTCGCTTCTCATCATTGTGGCTTTCATCCCAATGTTTTCCTGCCACGGCGATTCTTTGATAGACGTCAAGAAAGATGCTGGAGAGAGAGCAAATTTAGGCTACAAACCTGTCAGTTAAATAAAAAGGTCTAATCATATCGTAGACGACCTCAGGGTACTATATAAATAGGGAGCGGCCTATCTTGCCATGAAGGCCACATCTGCCCTGTGACCCACTGACATCCGTGACTGTGACAAAGTGTTGAAGTGCTGCCCATTTATTCCGTTGATGATGCTAATGGGACTTTGGCTCTGCCGAATCTGCAGTTCACTCAGGATTCGGAATCCTGTCGAGGCGACTGGTTAATTCACCTTCCCCAAGTCCACTCGAAGTTATTTCTCGCTTTTGTATCACAAGCTGAATTACGACTTATTTGCATGTACCTGGAGGTGAAAGCATTATCCATTTGAACATACGGGACTGGAGCAAATGAATTAAATAAATTGAATCCAGTCAACTTCTTAGTTAGGATAAATCACATGTAAATTTGGCTACAGAGACCATGCCCTTTTCCCACTACAATTGCAAAAGCGAGAAAATGCATGTTGTTACTTTTGTGAGCAAATCACTATAATCATTTCGCTAGAAAGACATAAATATGCTTACGTACGACAAATCAACCTGCCGACCGCCAAGGGGAAAAATAGGAAATTGACGAGGCCTTAGGTAATCTGATCAATCCGAGCTCTCGGAGTTGAACATGAAAACATGGCATTATATGCTAAAGACTGCGATCACAAAAAGGCCACACTACCTTGGTCTTCATACTTTCTAAAGAGTTAATGTTTGGTAAAGTTTAAGTGAATATTAATTCAGACAAATCTGGCCTCAATTATTAGAATAGTCACGTTTGTAATTTATAATTATTTAACATTCTATTTATTGCTATATGCAACTATTATATCTACAGCGCCAAACCAACCTACCGGAAGCTTGATTTAATTTTCCCGACCATTCCTGTCGAGTCTGTGATCGAAATTATTCATAAGAATTCTGATATTAGCTGACGAGAAGTGAGGCGTCACCACAGTCTAGAAAATCACTAGGCGCCTGCAGAGTACTGCTGCTAAGCGAGATCTTCTGGAAAGCCCCAATTACGCACACATTCCAATGGCCTTTACTCTGAGTGTCCCTCCCACTTTGCCAATCAGCGGCCTCAGCCGGCACCTCATTCAGCATGAGCCTCGTACCCTCGATGATGATCCCGACTTGACAACCTGTCTCATCAGTGCCACCTCGCTAGCCAGCTCGTCTTCAGAGGCCTCGCTGGCCATCCCTGGCCTTGGAGCCAATAGGGGTCAGCAGACCAGTCGGCAACTGGCCGGAATGACTCGCAACTTCCTTGATCCGCCGACTCTTCAGGTGAAGGCACCAAGTAGTCCGGTTATTGCCGCCGTACTGCCCGCCTCTCCTGGGTATCGCAACCGATCTCCAAACTCTTCGAAATCCTCCTCATCTTCATGTTCATCGTCTTCATCCTCTTCTCCACTTTCTTCGACCTCCTGTCTACTGCCTAATCTCACGCCCCGGCAACCCAGACTCAGGCCCGGTGATTCCTATTCAAGGGGCACCGAGGACCGAGCGTCAGAATCCGAACCCAACCATCTGGGCGCTAAGCCGCCGCTCGGCAGATCACAGAATACAAGACCAACTGGTTGTCCAGACGTAGAGATGCCTAGATCAGCCACCGCTTGCTCGCCTTGCTCCCTCTCCCTTACTCAAGAAAATGAACATGGGTCCTGTCCGGAGACGGAACCTAACCGACTGGAGACCCAATGGAGAGAAACGTCAAGGCTGCTAAATACAGGTCTCTTGCAGTCCTCAGCGGACATTGGTGAGATTGTCTTTCTTATGAGCTCTCTACCCATTTTAAATGAGCCATGAATTCAAAGAATCTGAAGTTATATAGTCAGAT